AATGGTATGGTTTTAGTTGTAATTTAATAGGTTCTGTAGCAAATTTCTCACGCTCTGACTTCTCTTTCACAGATCAGTAGTGCTCAATGGTCAACTCATTCCTTCAACGATCAGCTATTGTTTTAAAAATTCTTAGCTTTTTAAAATGCCTTTTAATTCACTGCAACCTTCTAGTCAGTACTACTTTTATGCTCTTGCTGCATAGATGCTGAAATTTTGTGAATATATCAATGTCTTGATCCTGCACTCTCATCTTAGTAAGCAGAGTGATGTGTCCATACAGACCAATTTGCAGGATCTGAGATCTAGAAACAGGTGAAATCAGTGTGTACAACCAACATGAAACGTCTCCAAAAATAAAAGGCAGAGCTAGATTTTTAAGTAATGTTCAGGTGGCGAAAGTTGTGTGACACTTTGAGTGATTGCCCATTTACATACTCCGTGACGAATGCAGTTACTTTTGAATTTCATGCGGAAAACGTTTTTCATCTTACTAGTTATCTTGAAGGTGAGGCATTCATTCAAAAATGCAATGTAACTTCATCTTCTACAGGACAAACAAGGATATATTATTTGATACTGAGAATGTTAGCTTGACTTCTGGAAATCTATTTGATGTTTTTTGTTTGTAAAATATCACCAAACAGGCAATTTGTCTATGCTCTTTATCGGATACGTTTGTGGTCCTTAAGTGGACTGCAGCAGAAGACTGGGTTAGATTTTTCCCTGTTTTTTGTCATGTGGGAAATGGCTTTCAAGTGGCAGTGACCTCTGCCACTTGTAAAAGGGAATGTTAATCTCATTACTCTTCCTTTGCATGCAAACCAAAGTTCTAGAAAACCTAAAATGTATCTTTTCCAGTAAAAGCAGTTTGAATATTTTAAGATGATTATATATTCACTTGACAGCGGGTTTCATGCCCTTGATAGCAGGTGTCATGCTACACAGAATCAGTATAGTGTACTTCTAAGAACGAATATTGTGTTTTAGAGAAGAAACTGATTGATGTAAGGTTTTTTGTTTTGTTTTTTTAACTCAAGTCTTATGTTATAAAATGACCTGACTTTTCCCCCCCCACTTTGAAGCTTTTTATTAGAAGATGGTGAGAGCTTTGGGCAAGGACGAGACAGAAGTTCCCTCCTAGATGACACAACTGTGACTTTGTCTCTGTGCCAACTCCGAAATGTAAGAAAAATACTGTGCACAGGTGCTTATGTCTTCACTGCAGAAACATTTCTTTTAACGGGAGTGTGGAAGTGTGTGCAGATCCTGCTGTTCCTACAAAAGGGCAGTATTACCAGTCTTATTGGTTCCAAGAGAAGACTCTCTGCCATCTGAGTCAGATTCTGATTTATGTTATTAAACTGCTTGGTCTGCAAAAACTTACTAAATTTGATCCCCCCCGCCCCGCCACCTTCCTCCTCCTCTCCTTCCCTCTTTTCCTCCCTCCTTTTCCTTATTTTAGCTATCTGGTGTGTTCTTATGAAGCCCCAATAGTTTTGTAGTAGCTGATATCCTGTGCAATTGCTAAACTAATTGTGACAGTGAGTGACTTCTTGCATTCTTTAATTGCTGTCTGTAGGTGGCTCGCAATATTCAAAAGAAAAATCAGCTCAATTCAGTTGAAGTGTTAAAATTGGATCCAGGTTTCTAGTATTCATCGCTAACCTTTAGAATGTATAGGTGTTACACAATTAGTTCGAAAGATCACTTCAAAGCATTTTGCCAAAATGCAGTCATGCAGATTTCTTTCCATCTTCAGTAGAAAAAAAGATACACAAATGGTAATTTATAATTTTACCTTCTGTAACAATCAGTTGAAAGTTTTACTCTCTCTCTCTATATATATATATGTGTATCTCACTGAAATGCCTTTACTGTATTGTATACTAAAGTTTCACTTTGGGGAGGATACAAACCTAAATCTTGCAATGTTAGCTGAAATATATTTTTAAGCTTAGTCAGCCTTTTAAACACCTTCCTTGGAGCAGAGCATGATGCTTGTAATCAAAAGAGGGTCAGTGCTGAATGAACTGAGAGTGAACTGCACTGTCAGTCTGAGGAGTGGCTGCGTGCTGTGTGCCTTTAAGTTAAGGATGGAACTGCAAAGCAGAGCACTGCAGAGAGGATGGTATTAAACATGAATCACGATGCACCAAAGATGTCTGAAAACTTCAGGCAAGAGTCCAGGCTTGCTTGTCTGTCACCTTTCCAGAGAGTGTCTGTATGTCTATGTGGCTTCCAGATGCTGCTAGTAAAAGGAACTCAAATTTGCCTAACTTCTAAACTGATGAAGAAAGTAAAGCCAAGTTCTGTAGTTGCTTTGCAGCTGCTTGAATAAGAAGTCCATATAGAAAAATGAGAAAAAGAAGAAACTGTTTAATACTACTGATTTATTCATACTTGGCACATAAAAGCTTTGTGTGTGTGTGTATGTAGGTTTGTGAATGAGATAAGAACATTATTTTTATGCAGAAGAATTTCCATTAACTCTTAAAAGTCTGTATTAGTAAAACTTTTAGCATTTAAGGCTGTATGTTCCCTCACTGATTGAGGACTGAGCTAATGCTTAGGCAAATCTCAGGGCAAGTTACTAAATTTGACAAATGAAATGTGAGGTAATAATTTTCATATTCCACTAAATATTTCCACTTGAATTCTGAGCATTATCCTGATAGTAAAATGTTTTTATTCTGAATTTCAGAGGCTGAAAGATGTTGGTGGGGAAGCATTTTATCCATTGCTTGAAGATGAGTAAGTGTCTGTAATTGTACATATATAAGGCACTACTGACCTTAGAGTTATTAGTTGTATTTGAGTGGCACAATGCACAGCTGGACAAGTGACTTCCAGAAGCAAACCTAACATGTCTTTGTTCAACTTCTAAAGTCATTGAGAGCTGAAGAGCCCTCAGCACAGGGCCCTGACATCGAACTGAGGAGCCTAACCTGCTTCTCAGTTCAGCCTGCTTCTGTGTCCTGAAAATCTTGAACTGAATCAGCTATTGGTACTGAATATTCAAAACTGTCCATCTATACTTGTTTCTGACTCAGAAATGCATCTCAGGATATTCATTTTGTTACTCTGAATTGTATTTCTTGGTGCTCACTACAACTTTCCTAACTCTTCTTCCAGTCAGTCAACTTTACCTCATTCAAATAGTAGTAATGAGCTGTCTGCAGCTGCCAGTCTTCCTCTGATCATCCGGGAGAGGGACACAGAGTACCAGCTAAACAGAATTGTCCTGTTTGACAGGCTCTTGAAGGTATGGAATCTTTCTGATGCTGCATAATTGGATTCGGTCCATTAATTAGAGGATTTTTAAAGGATCAAGAAATTGAAAAAAGAAGCAGAGATGCAACAGACCACAGTGGAAGAGGAAGGAAAAAAAAATCCTACAGAAGTATATGATGATCAAAAATAAGAATTTAAGAAAAAAAGGTCTTTTTACTAGTAATGAATATAAATGAATATGTAGTGAAGTAATGAATATAAAATAGTAATGAATATAAAAATAGTCTTTAAAATACGCCTATAAAAATAGAGTCAGAGCTGCTACTAATACCTGTTATTTACTAAAGAACATACTTCTGTATCCTTTATTTCCTAACAGACTCACCTATTATAGGTGTAAATATGCCTGCAACGTTTCTGCATTTCCGAGCAGTAGGGTATTCACAAACAATAGCAGTCATTACTGTGACGGTGCCATGTTAGAAATATTTCTTTTTATGCTGGAGAGAACGATAACAATCCTTCATGCAGAGATAGGGATTCTGGCTTAAGAATGAAAGAGAGCTGACATGCTTCATTAGGCACAGTGCTTAACAAAAACAAAGTTGAATGCTTAGTGTGAAAAGAAACATACAATGAAGAAAGAGCTTTCAGTGAAGAGTTGGCTGGCTGACTTTCCAGTATACTAAAATATATGCATGCCTTCACAGGAAGGGGTGGGTATTTTAACAATAAACAGTAGTGCCCTATCGAGTGCTTCCAGTGTAGGAATGAAAATTGTTTGATGTAAAACTTCTGTTTGCTGTTCAGACTGACAGCATTTGTCTTCTATGGGAGAGAGACACTCCTATTCCCAGGACTGGGATTTTGATTGTTTTAGTGACATGACTCTTCTCTTTGAAGGCCTATCCATACAAGAAAAACCAAATATGGAAAGAAGCCAGGGTTGACATTCCTCCTCTTCTGAGAGGCATAACCTGGGCTGCCCTCTTGGGTGTTGAGGTAAGAATAATGGGAGGGCATTTACAGAAATTCCAGGCCCAGTAAGGAAAGGAATGGGATAGGAATGGGATTGACATGGGAGCTGGGATGGATTTGCAGATTGGGTGGGTAGAACTAGTAGAATTTGAAGCAAAATGAAACATGAAATTGGGTGAACAAAGGCAAACTTGCCTTTAGACAAACTTGCTTCTTCCTTCTACCTTTATTTGATTTCAGAGAACGCATATAAACTTTACTGCCTTTATATTAAATTTGGATTATGGGATGGAAACATAGAACTTGTGCAATCAAACTTTGCTAGATTATTTCAATGCATTTGGTAGTTAAAAGCTTTTTTGTTGTTGTTTTTTAATTTTTAATATCTTTGATAAACGCAGTTAGAATTCTTCAGCCCCATCAGCAGTAGCTGGGCAAAACAGGATGAAACATACCACAAGTATTTTTTTCATCTGTCTGCCAATGCACTTCCTCCAGAGATTGGAGAATGAATACATTGAAAGGTGTTTGAATGAATAAATTGAACGTTATCCGTTTGGACAAATGATTTAGGGAATGTCCCAGAAATGAGGGTCCCTCAGAGAGACTGCTTGACCAACAGCTTGTGTCTGTCCTGTTTGCAGTACAGCAGAGAGGTTCTGATAGATAATACATCCCAAGTTATATAGGATGTTTAGCTCAGGATGTGATCTGCTGAGTGCTATGTGCTATGACCTAAAAAGATGTAAAGGAAAAGATGAGCTGCTGATGAGGTTTATAGCCTGGGCCTTGGGAGATGATCCACTTTTCAAGCTTCAACTTACCCTTTGTAAATGAGGGTAGTATTTCCCTATCTATAACATTGAGGTAAACTTGTTAGCCTGTACTTACATGATTCAAAGACAGATATGCTCCTTGAGAGCTGAATTCAGTACCTTTACAAAGATGTTGAAGGTCACTTGCTCAGTGACTGAGATGCACACCTAAGTGAAATTGAAGGCTTCAGTTAATTTAAACTGGATCAAGTACATGACTTTCTGTATAAACAGAATTGAATATCAGTGAAGATGGTACTGGAGAAGTCACAGAAAGGTCTATGTGGCCTGAATTATAAGAGAACAAAGATGATTCTATTAAAATTTTGTGGTCAGAATGTTTTATACTTTAGGAAATGCAGTATGATATGCTGTCAGAAAAAAGAATTGGTTTTGCCAAGTGTTTCAGTTACCAATCAACTTCTGTATGTCAGTGTGTACGTTGTAATTTACAATTATATTGATAAGGTCTTGCTACATTCAGATACTGTTGTTCCGTTTATAGGGCGCCATACAAGCCAAGTATGATGCCATTGATAAAGACACACCAATTCCTACGGATAGACAGGTAAGACTTTGATTGTTTTCAAATATTTTCACCTGAGGTAATGCAAAACCTTTTCTACCAGTGGCAAAGTCATTTGTTTATTACAGCAGGTGTGGAAGCTTATTATGAAAGGGTTCTCCCAGGCTTGTAATCTCATTCATGCTGCACCAAGAATCTCACAAAACCTATGGGAAGAGATTGTTTAACTCAAATTATGTTGTAACACTTAGAAAGTGAAATCCTCAGTTACTTCAGAATCATTGATTCTGTAGCAACAACAAAGAGCAAAGTGGTGTGAACAATGGTCCTCATGTAACAAAGGGTCCTGTTTTGATCAAATGCTTGTTGTGCCTCTTGGACTTGGTACCGGCTAGTGCACAGTACCCTGAGATCCTCTCAGCTAAGCTGTGCTTTAAAGAAATGGGTTCTTGGGCAAGTAAGTTCTCCAGGAAATATTTCCAAATAGTAAAAAGATACTACAAGCAACAGTTGCTTCTTTCAGCTGGCTGAAGAAATAGTTTTCGTCACATTCAGAGAACTCTAATTTTATTATTCTTAGAACAGAGTGATATTAACACCTAAAATGATGTCAGACGTTCGAGCAGAAAAACTGTAATCTGCTTTCTGCTTTTTTTTAAGGCTCGGAGCCCCTTTTTTTTTCCGAGTATGAATCTGAATTTAAAAAAAGAAAAACAACACTACTTTTAATCTCTGAATGCAGCTTTAATGCCCTGTCCCCTTCCGGTTTTGTTTTGTGAGAGTGATGAAGAAAATGGATTGCATTTGTGACGATGGTCTGACCTGGCTCCTTTCCACCTCTAGTTTTGGAAGACTGCTGTAGCTTGTAACCTGAGTTATCCTGATTTTTCTTTGTTGTATGCTTGGCTGTGGTACAGATTGAAGTTGATATTCCTCGTTGCCATCAGTATGATGAATTGCTGTCATCACCAGAGGGTCACGCAAAGTTTAGACGTGTACTGAAAGCTTGGGTTGTTTCTCATCCTGATTTGGTGTACTGGCAAGGTGAGTTTGACAAGTTAGCAAGATCAGATAATTATTTGGAAGGCTGTGGCAACGGCTGACTTAAATACAAGCTCCCTTCATAACCTTTTTTTGATTACTTTCCTTTCTGTTTCTTTTGAAGAGTATATTGGTGAGTTAGTATAACTTATTAGAATTTCTAATGAGTTTGTAATATAAAATTGCCCCTCCCTTTTTTGTATATTTGTTCTCTTATGTTGTATTCCTCCTTAAATAACAGTAACTTCATTTCAAAAAAAAAAAAAAATCTGTTAGGTACTGCTGTTCAGATCAAAGTTAAAACTGCAAAAGTTACTGAGCGAGTTCCTGGGGCTGTAAATAGTGTTTCTTGAAAGCCATGGCAGAATAATCAATTTAGTGCTGTAGTTTGACAATTTGAAATCCTTTTTGCTTTCATGTGTTGATTTCACACTTGTTTTCAGCATAATGTGCAAAGCCTGAGGTTGCAGGTATTATAATCAATATCAAGTATGTAAGTTTGCATGATAAAGTAATGAATTTATCTTATGCTTTTACAAAAAACAAGATCTTCATGCAGTTTCTTCATAATACTTCTCTGTTTAGGTCTTGACTCTCTTTGTGCACCATTTCTGTACTTGAATTTTAACAATGAAGGTGAGTACCTTTTTTGGCTGAGGGGGGAGGAGAAGCACAGTCTGTCATTTGTATCTAGTAATATATAGATGGGTGTGTATCTGCTTATAGATAAAATTTTTCAGTAGCTACAAAGGAAGTTTAAAGCTTCTCCGGTTGCCACCATTCAAAAGAAATGGACCTTTACTGAAAATGTTTGCAGTACTGCTCTTCAAGCAGCGGTTCAACTACTGTGTTTGTTACAAAATAAGAGTAATCAGTTATACAATGTGAAGTATAAGTAACCTTGACTATAGAAAAGCAAGAAATGCTTCCCTAGTACTTCTGCTTTTCAGTGAAGCTGTAGTTCAGCCTTGTTTAATGTGAATACCAATGTACTAACTGTTGACCTATCAGACTAACATTATTCAGAAAATCTGATGTTGGTTTTAAACTCTTAAGTGCTTATCAGCCCAGGTTTGAATATGTGGCCTTTATCTTAGAACCTTATTTGTTGAAAATTGATTGAGTCTAGTCATCTGTTCTTTCATCTGGCTTTCTGTAAAGTCCGTGTGTGGGTAAAGCTAGTTGCTTACAGCAGTGACACCAACTGTGCGTCTTTAAAAATTTCAATCAACAGGATTTTATTGCTCTTGGACATGTTGCTGTCAAGTTGAGTTGTAGAGGAAGTCTTTTCTCCCGTTGAAGCAGAATATAGTTGTAGTGAGTTAAGCAAAATTGTCTTCCAGTTTTTTATTACTTTATTTTACTTTAATTGTGCACATTTGGCTTAGATAGTGAAATAGTTTTAATGCTAGTAAAGTTGTAACATCAGATTTGCTTATAACATGAACTTGTTATTTTTGCTATAAATTTGACATTTTGCTTAGCACTTCCAAAATGATATCGATTTTCTTTGTACAATTTATGACAAACCTGTATTTGTAACCAAGATGTCTTTTTTTTTTTTTTTTTTTTTTTTTTTTTTTTTAAGTCTGTGATCTGGCAGCATGACTAAGAATTGTATTGAAATAGATTGATTAATCCTTGGGGAAAAAGTGGGGGAAAAAGTTTCTGGGAAAATTCCTGTTAAAAAATGCTTTTACCCTCTAATCTCTGGTTCATATGTATGTGAAGAGCAACTGGGAAATGTAATAAGTTTTTGTCCATCTTTCTGACAGTGTTTTAATGGTATTCTGCCTTGTGTTTTTCCTCTGAATTCTATCATCTTCCTTATCTGGGCTGAAACAAGATTTCAGATGAGAGTCTGATATGGGCATATCATGGGCATAAGCAAGTTATAGGAGAAAATGGAGAAAAATGCAACAAAGAGTTGTCCACAACTACCTCTTCTAAAATTGTATTCATCACGGAATCCTCACAGTTTAATGCAAGCATTACTATGGCTTTTCATCATCACTACTTTGTCACTGAGAAGAAATGCAGGAATAAACTGGGAGCATATCACATCCAGCCAGCTTTTTTTGTTGTTCAGTGACAGTAGGAGATTTCTTTAGGAGCTTTTAAAATCTTTTAATGAGGAATATGCCCTTTTTATGTTTTCACAATCATTCTAATGTATAGATCGATTTAAATGTTTGTGCTTGTTTTCTGCTTAATAATGAACATTTTTAGGTATGTTTCTACCTCCATAGTTATATTGCTTTTTCTAATTCTTTCAGCTCTGGCATATGCTTGCATGTCTGCTTTTATCCCCAAGTATTTATATAACTTCTTTCTGAAGGATAATTCTCATGTTATTCAAGGTAAGTCTCTTTGTTTTTTGGATATCTTTTATGAGAGGTACAGTTAATTCTGGATTTATGAATACACTTTTTCAAGTGGTTACAGAATTGGAACACAAATGGAATCACACTGTAGAAATACCTACCCATGTCTATTTTAGATAAATAAGCACAACAGCTGTAATAGAAAAACAGGAGCAAAATAAAGTACATGAAGCTCTGGGCAGGGGAAAACCCAAGTGCATGAAAAGAAATACAATGCTCTGTGCAATATGGTAAGAGTCAGTCAATGATGCAAAGCTATAAAGTCAGAAAATAGTCTTTCTGGTGTTATTTTGTAAAGACTTGCCCTTCATGTGATCAAAATCCTACTGCTACAGACCTTAACAGAGGGGGAAGGAAGAGGAACAGTACAAACTTGAAACTCCTCAGAAAATGGAAGTTCAGAAAGATACGAACTTGAAGGGAATTGCTTACTGAACAGGAAATAATGTAGTTCAACACAGGACAGGGACTGGAGAACCTTGAGGAACTGTGTTCCGTAGTTTGTTCTTCAGCACTGTATAGATTACTCAGAGAAATCAAAATGATATCTGGGAGGCAGATGTCTGTTCTATTTTAAAAATCAATTGTAAATTTCATGGAAAAACAAAGAAGAAATTGTCAAGAACTAGAAAGCCACCTTGGCACGGTCCTTGTTGACAAGATAATTTGTCTTGGAGATACTTTTTAAAATTATCAGTGATTTTTTTCAAACAGCTTTTTCCGTTTTTTAAAAACTATGTAACATAATTTGATTTTAATCGCAAGCAATTGCGAATGTTTATTGAATAGCTGATTTCATTGAGGCTTGCTGTCTTTGCATTTCTTTTAAAGAAATATTCTTTTGTATGCAACATAAACTGGTAGAACTCCTCAACTTAAACAGTGTCTGTCACTTCTTTATCCTTAAAAAAGGAGGAAATTAAGAACTGGTCAACAAAAAATATTTAGACATAAAAGCAGTTACATGCTGGAGAGTGGAGAGAGAGCTAACATGAGGAGAGAATACAGTGGTTAGGAGAGTTTACTTAAGAAAAATGATAGGTAAGAGACATGAACTGAATATATAAAGTAATGAGTAGTGTGGTAAAGCAATTCGAGATAACTTATTTGCATCCTTTGGTCTGTGGAGTAAGAGTGCTCGCTGCAGGGGAAAAAGAAAGGCAGTCAAGGTCTGAAGGAAAAAAGAATGAGTGTATTATATCAGATGTTCCTGTGGAACAAACTGCTTTAGGCTTTAATAGCTTGGTAAAGGTTTTTCTCAAGGGGGTGTACTCTTACATAAAATAACAGTTTTACTGTCTAGAATTCCCTGATGTTATTCCTTGGGGCCTTTGCAAAAGTTAGGAATATAGGTCAGTGTGGTTCTGTGACGCAGAGTAGCGCAGGAGTTTCCCAGTTGCTATGGAACATCTGCTATTGTCAAGGACTCAGGAAGACGGGACGACTTAGGATTCTTGGAGTATATTGATTTAGTCCTTTCTAGTATCTTATGTCAAATACCGATGTATAAATACAGTTTTAAAGAAAATTTCTGTAAAATTTCTCTTGCTTTATGGGGATGAAAGAAAGTGTTAAGAATGTATCATCTGACTTGCCTACAGCAATTTCAGCTTATCTTCCATATGAAGGTCAAGGAGAGGAATCTTTAAAACTGCAGAATTCAGCATACCTCATTTCTCAGCCTGTCCTAAGCAATGAAGGCAGATGTTTATTCTAAGCTTATCAGATATATTTTCTTGCTGGAAATAGGATGCAAGAGCACTTAAAGATGTTTGGATATGGAATGCCCAATTATGCAAGTGAAAAATTCACATAATAAAATCCCAACAGCAATTGGCTGGACCTAAGTGATATGTTTTCATGATGGAGTGTGCATCTTCAATAGACCCGTAATTAAATATGTAAATCCCACAAGGTAATTATATTTAATGAACCTGGCTAGTCAAATAGAGATGGTATTTAGCAACCTGTAGTGTATCTGTACAGTACCACTACAGTCACGAATCTCCATTTAAAATAAATGCGCCTTGGGGAAGCTAATTGTGAAATTGTTTTCATCGGCACACAGCTGCATATGTAGGATTACTGTTTTTCTATACCTTACCTGTGATTACTGGCTGTTTTACGGAATACAGAGAAATGATGATGCACCTTATTGGCCTATTGATGTTGATAATGCACTGATTCAGCAAACTGACACATGAGGGTTTTCCTTTTCTTCTGCTTTTTTTTGAAATTGAAGGTCTGCTTGCACTGTAGAATGAACTTAAGGCATAAATTGAGTTATCTCTCTGACTTGTACACATGTGAATAAGAATATCTTTAGCTTGAAAGTGAGATAGCATAGTGTAAAGATGCATAAGCTAGCTCTGAAACGGTCTGACCTTGCTGACATAAAACTCAGCATGGGCCTATTTACCCACTTAACTCCTCAGCTGGGTGCTGCCAGGGCATCTGTGGCATAACAGAGATGCAGTACCAGAGAGGAGGGGTTGGTGCTTCTATGGTGCCTGATATCTGAAGCAGTAATACCATAGGTGTTTAGTGTGCTGTGGCTTTGTTTTTCTTGCTTAAAAAAAAAAAGTTAATTAGATATAAAATTCCAAAAGGCACCCTTTTTCTTCTGGTATGATTTGTAGTAGAACTGTGGCTGTATCCTTGGGAGTGTGGAGAAAAGGGAATTATCACCTGTTATGAAATTGTGGTGTTATTGCCTCTTAATCTTTGTTCTCACAAAGCATACGACAATGTGGACAAAGTTGGGGTGGCAGGGGAGGTCTCTCAATGACTGTATTCTCCTCTCTGCTCATCTTCCAATTAAAAGCAAGTGATATTCTGGCCACTTCATTAAATTGTACCTTTCAGCATAATGTGTTATTCTGAAGATGTAATAAATCAGATCTTTTACAGCAAGTGTCTTTCCCTCTCTGTTCAAAAAAGACAACTTAAAAGAGGTTGCTGGTCATGGAAATAGTAACCTTAAAATTTGCATCAACTTCTGGATTACAAAATTAGACATTTTAGGAAAGAAACTACACAGAGTACAATTTGAGAAGTATAGATTTTGTGTTTCATCAGCACAGTTTGTTTCTCAGAAATCCTTGAAACAGTGTTCTCAGTTGTTTCAAGTGATATCATGTGGCTCATATTTATACTGAAATGTATTTAACTTTGTATGTCAAATATGCATTACAATCTGAGTATGAACCAAGTAAACTATTGTTGAAAATCCAAATTTAGAGATACTAAGGAAGAGAAATGAAACCGTTCTTCCTCTCTGTTGAACGTAATGATGACAAGGAAGATGGTGGTGATATTTACTTACTGTTTTGTTTTGGGTTTAATTTTTTTTTTCCCAAAAGTAGTGTTCTTCCTTTTCTGTAGCTCTATCTATTGTAAACTAGCAGGATGTGGTGACTTGTATTTTTGAAAATGATCTTGAACTTGCTTGTCGTTTCAGAATATCTCACAGTGTTTTCTCAGATGATTGCATTCCATGATCCAGAGCTGAGTAACCATCTTAATGAAATTGGCTTTATTCCAGATGTAAGTGCTAAGGATTCTTATAAATATTGTTCAGAGGAAATAGAAAAATGGAAAATGAGGGCAACTAGAATGAGATGCCTTTCAAAACTGCTTCAGCAGCAGTTTATGATAAGCAAGATACTTTCATATTAATGGACCTTTTTAGGTACTCTGATAAAATGGTAAAGTTTTGGTTATTGTTTTATAAATTTCAGTCCTTTCCATTCTGTTGGGATGGTAAATACAATAATGATACTACCAGTCAGTTATTTTATCTTCTGAGATCAGTTTGTAAATTCTATGATTTTATTTTTGAAGTTTGGATTAATATACAAAAACTGACGTGGCCATGAGTGACTAACAGCAATATTTCTGGGAACTAATTACATGCTAAGTTGGTTAACACAAAAGATGCTTTAATTTGCAAATAATACAAAAAATACGCTCAAGTAAAGGTTAACCTGTAGATGCGCTGTTGGTTGTTGCAAAATATTTAGCAATATGTTGGAGTCTATCAGAAACATTAAACAAGTATATAACCCGGAAGAAGTCTATAAGATGGGAAACTGAAAACTGAGAACATGCAGACAAAAGCATAATAAAGAGGGGTGTATTGGAAAAAGCTAAACAAGGCCACCTTAGCTGTCACTGTAAGTAGTGAAACTTCTCCCTGGTTTAAAGAGCCGTGTATAGTTCAGAAAGCCAAGATAATATTCCATAAAAGTGCTTGTCTGCCTGCTTTAGGATTATCCAGGTTTATGGATTACGTTTCTGAAAAGTGAATATAGACAAGGCTGCAGAAACAGCATTGTTAGCGATTATGGTCTATATCATGATTCATTTGGCATGATGACAGAGTGGTCAAAATGGAAGGAGTCATAAGTCAGGAGCTGTTGATGTAGAAATATGTTTCATATGTAAGAAAATTATTATATATTTCTTCTTGCTAATGTAAAGCATCTTTTATCAAATATGTATTTTTCTTATTCAAAAAATACTTTAAAATAAAGCAGCAAGGCCAAGCCTATGCAATTCATTTATCATACGCAAATCTTGGGTGCATTTGCCTGTCTTTGGGACTGTCAGATACTCATTAACCCTGCTTACAAAGATTTTGATAGAAAAGTAAACATATGCTTTCTTTGTGTAAAGATATTTTTAATGTAATAACTTGTGTATGAATGAGCCAAGTTTAAAAGAGATTGTGGCATTAAAAGGAGCAGAAGAGAGAACCAGTGTATTGCATTGTAAACCGAGGTGTTTTTAGAAGGCCACATTTATCACTGATGACCCACATATGAAGTAGGGGAATTGGGAAAGAGGGGTGAAGATGAGGGAAAGGTGGGGCAAAGGGAGAACTTACTCGTCTGTGGAAAGCCTAAATAATTCTGAATGAAGGGCTCAGGAAACAGCAACATTTAAGTTCTTGAAGGAGAATTAAGTTTGCAGCATCGCTGTGTAAATGCATCCATTGTTTATTTTTATACTCTGTAGATGACCAAAGCAGTCCCTCTGTGTATTTTGTCCAGAAGATTAATTCCCATTTAAGATGTATAGATGTAAATCCCCTGACAATCTTACTGGTCCACATTTCTACTACTATTCTCTTCTACATGAGAGCTCTGTAACAACCCACGTTGAGTGTTTGCTGCTCTTTCAACAGCTCCAGAAGTCTGCTTATACAGCTACAATTCTCTGTGCTGAAAACTTTCAAGATGTAAGTCAGGTGGAATAATTAGAAGTTGCCTCTCTTGATGTATTTTAGCTTGTATTGTACCAGTCATTGGATAGCACATAGTCAAGTGTGAGCCCTGTCTCTAAGTGTTACAGTCTAAAGTAAGAGATGAATAGGTAATGCAGTAAAGAATTGCAAAATAGGGGCATATATATTTTTTAAAACTGTGTTTTCTACAAATGCTAGTTCTAAAACTTAACACCTCTGAAAAGAAGCTATCCTTTCTAAATCATCTCTCATTAAATAAAAGAAGTGTTGTTCTGCCTTCTAGATTAGTGCGAGAGGGGCTTTCTCTACCTTTAACAAGACAGCACAGGATCCATCAAGGTGAAGGATATGCACTTTAGTAATGAGATCTGAACCAGAGTTTCGTGCTTGAGTACTAATCCTATCAAAGTAAACCCTGATTAATCTTTCATCATTGAAACGCAGGCTCCCGCTGCAGGAAAGATTGTGTTTCCTGGCACCCTTCCCATTTGCTTCGGGTCATGTAGCTCTCAATATCGAACACTGCTAAAGCTTAAATAGCTGTGAATATTGTTAGCTGATGTGGTACCGGGATTAAAATTACTGTGGCTATGTGATTCACATGTAAAGAGAGAGCTATGGTGAATATTACAATTCTTCTTTGCTCACCCTCCCCAAGTTTATAAGCACCCTCACCCTATGCAGTGTTTTATAACATCTGCTCTGTATGTTACTGAATAATTCTGACATCAACAGCAGACCATTTTGAACTGAAGAAAAACAAGGAAGTGAGCCATGTTACTTAAACGGTAGCTGTAAATTATTTTGAATAGCTTTCAGCTGCAAATTATGAAAGCTGGACATATTTGGTCAGCTGGCCGTTAACAGAGATGACGAAGTCTACCTGCAGTTACTTAATATCATCTTGCTGAAGCTGCTGTCATAGGTAGACCCCTTAGATTGGTTTTGGTGATGCGCAGGTGTCAGTGGTAGGGCTCCCTCTTACTGCGAATTTAAAAAAAATCCTGTGATTGAAGTATCTTATCTCCATTTGTCCCATGTTCCCCACAAGTTCTATTACACAAATACTTAGTGGTGAATCTGGCAGGGAGGTTTCTTGCTGGTAATTTTACTTTGTAAGGAAATGATCATTCTTGAAGTTTTGATTGTGTGAGCGTGTATATGTGGGTAGACTTTAATGTTAAGAGTCAGATTCAGTCTGCATCCTCTTTGCGTCCTTGGTCATCAAAACACTTTTGCGCCTTTCTGTAACATTTGACTGTATGACTAGTTGTCTAGGCACCTTATATGCTTGAATTTAAGCATGTAAGTATGTATTTGGAAGACAGAACAGTGAAATGAAGTTGCAAGATAGTGTGTTGTTCCTTTTAGCTGAGAATCATTGTTTCGTCCTTTGCTCATGTTTCTGTGTAGCCCTTTCAAATGGTTTTTTAATATAGCAAGCTTGGAAAAAAAGTTTGGATTCCTTAACTGATCTTGAATAGCTGGGATTGTTTGTTGTTGGAAAATTCAAATGACAAAAGAAAGATATGAAACCTTGTGCTTTGGATTTTAAGCCAGTGCCTGCCTAAAATATGTAGAAAACAGCTTAGTGTGGCAGACAAATTATCTTGCATCTGTCTGCAGCAAGAGTTTTAGCACATTCTTCTGAAGCACCTGAGCTACTCACTGTAGGAGCTACAGTACTGTCCATATTGCCCTCAAGTGTGACTTAGTATGGTAGTTCCTGTGTTCCTGTAAGCATGACTTGAGCTTAGAGCAGGAAAGGCTCAAACATAAGTCATGAGCATTGAAAATAGCATTAAGTACATGCTATAGCATAGGGGGTTTTTGCTATCTTTAAGTTATTCTTATGGCATGTGGAGATATGACAAGTACCTTATCAGTTTAAAATAACCCACTGCATTGAATGACAGATGGTCAGAGGAGGATTATTTGATAAAAGATTATGAGAATGATGATTAGCCCTATTGTGCGTGTTATCTTTAAGGATAGGTATTTAACCTTGATCTCAGCTCCGTATTTTTATGTGGAGTGCAGGGTGAACTTTCTTGAAGGATTTTGGTAAACTTAAATGTTGTGTATTTATATAACAAACAATAGCTTGTGAATAATGTTGGCATTTTTGATGTTTTGAAAATCCAGACCTTCAATCTTAAATAATTAATTTTCATTATCCTGCAACCAGGTGCACAGCTGCCTTATGAGCATAAGCTGCAGCTGGAGCGTACAGGTCAGCTGCTTTGTTCTTAAGGATTTTTCACAGAGCAAGAAGTTTGTGTATACCTTTTAATACTCCCGACCATCCCTACCAACAAAGACTAACATTCACTTGCACCTTGCTACCCCTTCTGAAATGTCTTTAGAATTAGAAGCAAAGCCCACTAAATCTATTTTTAAAACTATTTTCTTTGCAATCTGAGTCTTCTGTGGAGTGCATAAACCTTTCCTTTTCCAGAGAAACAGACAAATAATGCAGACAGTAATAATAATAAACAGACAACAGTAAAAGCCGTATGAAAAATGTTTTCATCAAGGTTCATGCCAATGTCTCGAAGAGCTTTGAGTGCCTAAAGGGAAATACACTCTTCTCAAATAGCTGTTTTCTAACTATGGGCAAATGAGGATCTTCACCCTGTTGGAAAACACTGAACTGGGTCTCGGAGCTCAGTTACAGAGCAGTATTCTTCACAGCAGAACACTGTATGGAAGGATTGACAATGGAACAAAGCCTAATGGCAAGGGATTTCAATTTTAACTAAAAAATTGATTGAATAGCTACTGAGATTAGGGGGCTACTACGTTCTTCATACAGAAGTGGCGGAATCCTTACTTAGAAGCACAGAACAGCTCATATTTTACTAGCAGAGCAAAATGATAATTACAACATTGCTGATCTCAAGCTCTGCAAAAAATGAAGTATTTGTTGGTTTTACAGGCTCTTATCTTAACGTGGTTTATTGCCAGGATCTTTCAGGAGCGCAAACGTTGCTTTGATTAAGCATTAAGCACATTTTCTAAGTACAGAGAGTTAAGCGTGAATAAAAGACACAGCACCACTACATTTTGCAGTCCAGTAGCAAAAGATTGCAAACCATTTTAACAGCAGCAGTTTGTTAGTACAAAAACATGGCAAAATGCTGTTCTAACCGGTGATGGCTAGGGGGCAGTATTTACTAATAATATATTTAAAGTGCAGTCATTTAACTAAATGAATTTGGTAGGTTGTTTGAGGACTTCAAATCAGATGTGTGCAGTTCTCCTTTTTCATCTCTGTTTTTCACTTTGACCTGTACGGTGAAATAATAAAATCAGCATTGTGGCTTTTCTTTGCTTGCTTATAACCGAATTACTTTTAAGTAGTAATTATAACCTCCTTAAATTGTTGCAGAACACTGTATTTATGAAAATTAGAGGAAAAAATTTCTCTTCAGTAAAAATCTGTCTAACACCTGCCATGTAATTACAATTTGACCTATTTTTCAGTGTAACTGTTAGAGGTTTGGTGAGGATAGATTGTGGTGAAGTATTGCTTGTGTTGTAGTTATCTTTTAATAATCTCTTAAATATTTCAGATTTTGTCCTTGCTTATTTGCTCCTATGTGTATATACACACACGATATAAGTGTTGGTGTGTGAAATTAGGAGAAAGTGTGGATCTATTTTGCTAAAATGTTTTTATCAAATAAACGAAAAGCAGGAAGTAACTACTTGGAAATTCCAATAAAGTAACGTAGTTCCAAAAATGGCTTCCACAAAATGTACATCTCGGAGCAAAGAGGAGCCTCAAGCTACTAGGAGTGCTTGTTTTCCTAGTTCATGGAAAGCGAGATGTTCCTTATGAGTAAGCAGGTATTAGCTGGTTGCAGCCACTCTTGGGGATATTTCAAGGAATAAGGGATGTTATTATTCAGTCGACAGCTGTCTATTGAAGTCATTTCAAAGATGTACTCAGGGAGGGAGTATAAATGTATTATCCAGTTGAAGCAGCGATAGAGGTGGGTTTGTTTTGTTTTGTTTTTAACCCTTAAAATCCGTTGGAGAGTTGGAGGCCAATCTTTATAAAACCCCTTGAATGCTGAAAGTGCTGAACAGACTGGTCATCTCAGCTTTGTCAGTTTTAAGGACAGTGGGGATTGGATACTTCAAATGAAGACGTAGGAATAAAATTTAGAAAGTGTGATGCTAAAAAGTCTTTCAGCAAATGTGTGCATCATTTCATCAAAGCCACAACCAAGTTAAGAGTTTATGGAATGAGAGGTAATTTATTAACATAGTATCAATTATATTTTCTGCTTCTCATTTGCTTACTTCCAGGGAAAGCTTAAGAGGGGGACTGATTTGCACTTTTTATGAGTTAAAAACTAATCAGCTTTATGTCTAGCTGTAAATCTTCAGACATGGAAAAGAGAACTCATGAACTATGTAACTGAGTAAAATTTAACTGTTGTAGCCTGGCTTTTGTCTTCCTGACTCACAAGGACTTTCCATGCTGTTTGGCATTTCATGAAAATAGATTCTCTTGCCTTCAACATAGTGAATACTTTAGTCAAAATTAAGACACTCTTAAGGTATCTTAAATAGTTAACTATTCTAATGCATTTTGAATCTTCTGCATATGGTGTCATGAGTACTCCAGATTGGAAGTCTCGCAGAGACTAAGGATTTTTCCGTAGCCTATTACATTCACACAAGTTCCTATGCTATCAATAGCAATGTAAGTGCTGAAGCCATCTCAAATCCTTCAGATGACATCTGCCTTTAAATGTCACCTTAGAACAACATAAATGCTTAAAGTGTTAATAACTGGCACTATATGTTTGAGTTAGCTGTTGAGAATGAAACTGCTCTTATTGCCTTTCACTGAAAAGGATACTTTTTAATAAATATGAACATAGGAGAAAAAAATCAGGTGTTATTAATTTTTTCCTGTTGGAAAGTGTGATTTGCACTTTTAATTATTTATCTTAAAAGCATTTTTTCTTCCATAGCCAAAATATATATTGAATCAAATTATTTTTTTATACTTCTTCAGGCATTCCTCACTAATTCTGACTTAGCAGTATCCATATGTAAGGTCAGAACTGTGGCAGTCTAATAGAGCAGGTGTTTGAGCTCTTTAAGACTTTGCAGAGGCTAATTTTTTGCAAACGTACTGAGGTGGTTTTTTAGTTTAGTATCACAGAACAGTAGTTTGAAAGAGATAAGAATGGAGGATTAGGGGAGGAACAAGCTTCTTTTAGGGGGCTTGTTGTATGTTACTGTATACTAAGTTGTATGATGATAGTTCTACCGTTGGAGTTATTTCCTATTTTAAATACATACATGTCAAGCTAGGTAATTTTTTATGTGGTTGAAAATTGCCCCAAGCAAGAACTTAGTGTGGCTCTTAATAAAATGTGTTTTTGTTGATTTTTTTTTTCTCTTCCCCACACCTTTTGCAGCTTTATGCTATTCCTTGGTTTCTTACGATGTTTACACGTGAGTATGCTTTTTTTCCTGATTAAATTTTCTTGTATTTAACTTTTCCTTTTAATTTCCTGTGGCATGTACCCTTCAGTTTTAAAGGGGAAGACTTCAGTCTTTGGTAGCTTACAGGTTCAGCTTGTAGTTAGCATCAACCCCCAGGAATCTTGAAGCATATTGGTTGTATACTGAAAAATAACAGCTTTCTGACTTAATTCCTATCTCACCGAGTTCCCCCTCCCGTCCCTTGGAGGGCAGGAAAAGTTATGGTTTTATTTGAGATTCAAGTTATGCATCCTTGGTATTTCTTAAGTGTAATTTTTTTCACTTTCAAGTAAAATCTTTCTAATTGTGATGTGACTGTCACTTAGGAGGCCAATCATTATCTGCAGGAATGTGTATGTTGTGATTTGAGTCTCAGCAGTGCCTGTCACATTGCACTTTCTGCCTCAATTCAACAATTATTAGCATTTTCTTATTTCTGAAGGAAGAACAATATTAAATTTGAACTGGACAATTCTATGTATGTGATATTTAAGGAATGTGAAAGGAAGCTTTTATCTAGTAGGGGAAAATATAATGAAAATGCCCCTGCATCTCCCCCCCACACACACATTAATGTAAGAAAGATAGTAACTTTGTTTATAAAGGCCAAAAATTGAGCTTTATTTTATTATGCTTTAATATACTGTTATTGTACAAGTACTACTGTACTGTGATATTTGTGCATGTGTTTTTTTTAATAAAATGAGCTTCATAATTTGGTGAGCTTTTCCAATGAGAAAGGAGAAAGAGTTAAAGTGAGCCTAGAAAGCAATCAAAAATCCCCTTTCCTCAAAGATATCAGTGATTTTTTTTTAAATTACTATTATTTTTTTTCATTTCATGTCAACATTGGCAGACTTTAAATTAAAAAAGAAGTGGAGGGGGGAATGAAAAGAACTGAAAGATTATTTCTCTGAAATATCAAAGAATTTAAGGTGATTCTTGACTGTAATTCCCTAAGTTCTTGACTAGTGCTTTTAATTATCCATTTTTCTAAAACTTTATGACAATCACCTTTGGAAAACTCAGAAAATGGTTTATTTGGCAATGATTTACAATAAAAAGTTGGAATTACTTAACTGAAGGATACTTTATTTTAGGAGAGCCACCTTCAGCTTTAAATGTAAAGTGATTTTATTTTTTTTTTAATAGGCCTTCCTCCCTGTTTTTCCTTTATTCTGCTTATTTTTGCTCTATTCTGTCTATTTTCTTGCCTAATCTTAGGTAGTTGAGCTTGCTGATTCACTCATCAATGTCTTCATGCTATTGAAAAACTGATATGCGTGTCTTCCCACAGGGTTACGCTGTAGGAAAAGAAAAAGAAATTGCCTGATGAGTGGGAGGCTGTTTAAGTTCTGAAAACCTGAACGTTTCTTAATATTTAATAATGAAAGGAGATATTGATGATCTGCAGAATAATAAATCTACATATGAGAATAAATCTAAACAACTTTAATCCTATTTGCTCCCAAATAAGAAAGCAATAATCGTGAGACAGGAAAGGGGAAAAAAATTGTACAGATTACTCATCCTGCGTATTTGTTTTTATATGTAATAATTTAAATATTTATAGGTTTGGGAGTTTTTTATTTGTTTGGTTGGTTTTTTTACTGCTTTGCCTTTTCACCATGCAGATGTCTTTCCTTTGCACAAAATTTTTCACTTGTGGGATACATTACTTCTTGGAAATTCCTCCTTCCCTTTCTGTATTGGAGTGGCTATACTTCAGCAACTGAGGGATCGGCTTCTGGCTAATGGATTCAACGAATGCATTCTCCTTTTTTCAGACTTACCAGGTATGGACAAAAATAATTCTTCCCACTTTCTCTTTTCCCAGTGTCTTGCTGGTGGAAGCATGTGCTTGCATGTACATATATATTTCAAATCTTGCACGTGTTTTAGAATGTTGTTAAGATTTAGGTAGGCTCTGTGTCACAGTACGTAGACCCTAAATAACAGCTGGAGGAAGTCAGTGGAAATTTTTTTGCTGTCATCAGCAAGAACTGGGTAAGCTCATTATCATATCCATGTGAATGCTGAACTACTGTCTTCTGAAATTTAGAATGATGTCAGATAATTCATGAACATTGAACTCTTCGTAGACATACGGAAACAATGTAGCTGGCTGGGATTTCTTACTGAAAAAAATTTAGTGCTGTTCTGAATGCTGCTGTTCCATTTTGCTGATACAAGTCGTTTTTCTTTCAAAGTTAAACATTTACTGTGGAAGCAATTAATATAAAAGAATTATGGAAAACAGTTTAGAGGCCATTAGAATTGCTCTGTTTTAAGGCGTTTTGTATTTTACGTGTAAAGCTTTCAAAAGAACCCTCAAAGTCAGATTGGAAGCTCCATAATCATTGTGCAGAAGTTCTGCCTTCATGTTCAGTGGGAGACTGTTGATATATCCATTCAAACAAGTGTTACATCTTTTTAAAAAAGTACAACTATCCATGGAGTTTAGGTCTTATTTCTGAGCAAGCTTCTAGTGAGACGTTAGAATGCATTTGAACTGAGTAAGCCCTGTAAACTGAGATGCGTTTCCATTTGTGGTTAACTAATATTTGCATAACACGTGTGAATTTGAAGAGTGTTTCACCCGGAATATACCTCTGTGCTTGTATTACTTCTCTCTCTCCAATCTAGGACTTTACTAACATAATCTAGGTCTTGGTGGGGTTAAGATTAAGACGTGACACTGTTTTAATTGTGTGGGTTTTTCATAAGAGAACTTTTAACTTTTATATGGATTTAGTGGACTCTATTATAACACAGTGTGTGCAATCTGAATGATAAGTCATTTAAACAGAAGTCATTCTTTTTCTGAAGAATTGAATGACAGAATCAAGTTTGGAAGAACATTTAAGCTTAAATGTTCTTTTGTCAAGTACAGCAGTCTCCACGGCTGCAGGGGTTTAAAAGGCTAGTAGGATATGGCAGCGAGCAGGCTCTCAGTACGTAGTTCCATAAGGCAGTCTCTCAGGGGTTCAGCGAGTTCTCACGGGTGAAGCTGTGTGCTTTCTCCAAGTACTGTCATAGCTTCTGTCTCACTGTAGGCCCTTGAATGTGTGTCTGGTTTCAAAATTCTGCTTTTCTGTTGCCTTTCAGTTCAGTTTCTGCTATGCAGTTGCTACTGTATTTTCCAATTTATAAGAAATTTAATGTGATTAGGCCATTTCATATAATAGGATTTTTTTTTCAATTTTGGTCTATATGCTTAGTCATTTCAAATACCCTTATTAAACTTGACTGGATATCTTCAGATGGTCTGAAAGGTGAGTGCTGAATTAAAAGATCATCTCTCTTCCCCCTCCCACCGCTCATCTATTAGCTATATATCTTGGCTAAATATAGGTTCATTAATATTTTACTCATTTTCTTGCCTAAGGTCATTTCTCCTGATATTTTTTTCCTTGGGTGGTTCTGAATTATGTATTCCAGTTTATCTTGAACCAACTGATTTACTGACAGTTGATGTACTTTATGCTTAGGTTGTGTATAAGAATATATTACTTCTCATAATACATGTCTGTATATATAGTAAAACTAACTCGATGAAATCTGTAATATTATAATGTGTATGTTTTCTGCTGATTGTGGTTGATGTCAACTTTACTGATAACCTAATAGGAAACATTTCAGTAGAATGGTGTTAACTTCTGAAAAGCATTTTTAAAATGTTGTTGATGTCTGCAATGTTTTGGATGCCAACAGTGCCACAATTTAATATTGTGAGATTAATCCAAAGCATATCATAAACTGCCTACTGAGGGAGGAAAGAATGAAGATGAAAGTACTAGAGTGACTTAAAAATAAAATATTACAGGGCTAGCTAAGGCTTCGGTAATCAGTAACTTCTTTGAACATTATAATTATCATGGCCTTATGCCTTTTCTTTCTAACCTAAGTCTTATTTCTGATGAAGAAGTATTGACTGCTTATGCTTTTTGTCACCTATGTCTTCCAACCAGGATATTCATTATCTTGGTTAAAATAAATTGTGCACCATACCTGAGAACTTGCTGAAACTAATTTACAGACAACCTTCACCTGAAACTAGGTCACCCTGAGAAAGAGATTTTGTTGTTCAAAACATCTGCAATAATTTCAATCTAAAATCAATTGTTGCTCAACAGCCTGAAACTCCTGTGGTTTTTAAGCTTTCTATGCACGAGAATGGCTTATCTCAGGCTGCCAGTGAAAGTGACTTACCTTCCAGTCTGATAAAGCTATTTTACTGCAATCTTGCAACTTCATGGAACACTTTTTTTTTAAAAAAACGTTTCTTGTTCCTACCCTAGTTGGTTCTAAAAATATATATCTTATTTAAAAAAAAAATCCTATTTATTTTGGGATCACTGCACATAATGCAGTTTCAATTATTGTTTAATGAAGTTAATGATAGAGAAAGGGGGGACATAGTGCCATTATTGATTACTTAGTCCTGAAAATCCTTTACAGTGCCCATCTCAAGGCATTGACCGTGTTTTATCTGTAAAATAGGCATTATTTGCTATTTCTAAGAGCTCTTTCTGTACTGGAAATTTCATTTTTTCAAGAATAACATTAAAATATATATATTCCTCTATGGTTACCATTCTTTGACTATGGCTTCATGTAAAAATTGACCTCTGTGGCCAGGAAGAAAAAAATAAAAGCTAATTATATCATGCTACCTTAAAATTCCAAATATTTGAATTTTACTGAGTAGCGATGATAATACAAGGCAACTTGCTGTTTTCTTCACCTAGCATAGGAAGAGTAACACAGTATCTGAGACTAGATCAGGATTTTAACTCTAGGGTAATACGTCACCATGCACTAGAGGAATTACACAATAGTTCTATATTACTTGATGCATGAGTGATTGTACCATCCTTACAATGTTTTATCAGCCTAATGTAGTTTCATCTGAAGAAACATTATTCTTGTGACTTTGGCTACCTTTAGCAGAGGTTTATTTGAACCCTGGCAGGTGTTAAACTAGTTGGACATTAAGACGATCTGTATCTGAGTTGTATGAAGGCTTCTCTTTCCTCAGACTTGGGACACCATGTAACCATAATTACTAGATCACTGTAGATTCAAAAATTTACCTGAAAGTAATCTGGTAGTGCCAAAGTACTTATGGCTGAAGATTTGCTCTGTATGGTAGAACATGCTCACGCACAAGGAGATTATTAGAAAAGTAGGAGGTCTGGAATGCTCTGTTCCATGGAAATAGTCCATCCACTCAAGTTTAGATGCAAAATTTAGGAATCTACCTCTTTGATCTAATGGGGCCTGTGGCATTGCAGTGTTTACATCAAAAACAAAAAGTAAAACGCTGTATTGTACCCACACAAATGCTTGCCCCTATCTTCTATAGTGGCAGGAAAAAAAAACAGGGGTCCTGATTTTTTTTTTTTTTTTTTTAATGTTTGTTCGTAGCATGTTGTCATTAAAGTCATACTTGGGACCTTCCATTTCTTTCAGAATTCATTGACCTTGATTGCTTATGAATGGCAAAGTCCTCATTTTTCATCTTTACCCTTTTCTCTACTTGCAAATTAGCTATAGTCATAGCAGATGTTATTTCAAGGGTATGTTTTTATGTTTGAGAGCTATCAGTTTAACAAGATCCTTCTGTATTCTGATGCCTTTACCCGTAATTATAGGGGGAACAGAAACAATATGTATCACTGCACAAAAGGAATTTAGTTTTCATTCTAGGTCAATCACAATGGTGCAATTGATAAGACTTGTGATTAACATTATTTGCTCCAAATTTGTAGGAGCGACAATGCCACTCAGAAGTTTCAAGTGCTTTAATAGTAATTTGTTTGAACATTATTCTCATAAATGGGGAATTGTTTTTGTAGTATTTGACAGACTATGGATGGTTCCAGAAAATACATTAATTAAGAATGCTGGAAAATCTGTAATGATGACAAAAATCCTCCTTCATTCCTGACAGGACTGTATAAAGGGGACATTAAGAGACTGCTACAATGTAGGTAAAATTATATTGTTTATGAAATTACGACCCCAAGGGTGTGGGTTTTTTGTGTGTGTGTGTTTTTTTTGTTGGTGGTTTTTTTTTGCTTTCATTCTTTCTTTCAGGGAAGGTTTTAAAATACATTAGTTCTTCTCTCTTTGTGTTTATGGAACTCTATTACCTATAAATTTTGACATTTATGTTGTTTGAATAAAGAAGATTTGAGAGGTACTATTTCAGACAGACAGGCAAGACCAGCCCTGGAGTTGTTGCAAATTCTTTGTGTGTAGTTTTTAAAATTTAGCAAATCTCATCCCATTTAGGTGATGCAAAGAGAGCAAATATATTATGCATTACCTTTGTTTTTCCTCTATGTAAGTGTGACTTACAGGAGGAGTGTATGGCAGGGAAATTAGAAGTTAATGATAATATGACACTACCGTGGAATGATTCCCAAGGTACCATCAACATAAGCATGAGTTGGCTTCCAGACCAATGGTTACCTCTAGTAAGCTAGTTTGGATGTGTCTGCATCCTGTAAATCAGCAAATCCACAATCCAGGTGGCTCTTTCATGTCTTGAGTGCCAACTGGGTAGTTTTAATTTAAAACTTGCTTATACTTGATTTTGCTTATGTCTTAGTCTTTAACGTTTTTCCTTAAATCTGTGTGCTAATGTATGTTACCCACATCAAAAAACTGTGATTATTGTAGCTTGACTTAGTTACTGAGTTCTTAACCCAGTATATAAGTAGTTACAAAGTCAATGGCACCTTTTGTTAGGAAATAGACCCAAGAAGGAAGTACGTAGATAGTATAC